CTAAAGATGCAGTGCTTACACAAGTCTAGCTTTTTGTCTTTTGACTCTTTAACAACCGCTCTCACTTAACATCGTCATATGTGCCTCACTCATGTGTCCCTAACCCATATGCATTAACTGAGTCAAGTTAGAGTTTAATACTCTCTCTCAGTAGATGATAGAGAGAATTAACTTTCTTGCCCTTCATCACTGTCATGGCATCTCGAGAGATTTTCAGCACTCCAACTTCAATGATGTACTTACACCCAATGTCACGAGTGTCCTCAACGAGATATGTACCGAGTGAAGGTGAGTCTAATTGGATGTATTGATTGGCTTGGATTTTGGGCTCACTCTTGGCAATTCCTCCAGTATAGGTTCCGGGCTTCTGCTATACACTTTGAACAGATTGCTATTGTCATATACTTGGAATAAAAGATGATTTTCAAGACCACCCGCCTGGGTGGCGCTGCTGGAGCACGCACTCTTCCTCTCGCAAAAGGTTGAGTGTTCGAATCCCGGGTGCCGCAGGGTGACTTAACCGGTGCACGTGTGTGGTGGCTAGCACGTGTCGCCCCCAGGGTTTACCTCCCGGCTGTCGGCCGTGCGGGGGTTCTCTGGGTCATCAAAAAAAAAAAAAAAAAAAGATGATTTTCAAGCATGTTTCCTTATTTTATATCCTGTAAGTTGGGCCTTAGTCACTATTCAAGTCAAGCCAGTCAGAATAAATGCTCTTTATTTTTCTTTTCGGATGTTAAAACTACCTTACTTCATTGCACCTCAACTGAAAAACTTTTTCATGCATACCGCTGCTTTCGTAATATGGGCGTCCTTGTATCCTTATGTAGGGAGAGATGGCTTAACTCACAACATGTTGAATGATATCCATAATCACTGGAGGCGTGCTGAGGCAGTCAGGATTAAATGTATGGGTGTGCCGACGGTTGATATGAAAAATGTTTGCTTCCAGCTGGAGGTATTTTGTGTTTTAGTCTATTTTTTTGGTCAAACCGGATCTTTCTTTCTCACAGCGATTTGTTGTGCACTGGTTTTTTTCTGTTTCCTGTAGATCATCTGGGTGATTTCTTGTTCTTTGTGTATGAACTTCTTTACCCATGTTTATGGTGAAATTTGGCACAAACCATTCATTACTTAAGAAGTGGCCCGTCGATGTTTATTGCTTCAATGTTTATTATTTTATATATAGTTGCTAATATTCCCTTGTTACATATAGGATCTTCGAACTCTGAGTCTTTATTTTCTTGGCCAAAACTTCTAATGCAAGTTGAATGTGCATTTTGCAGGATAAAACCTTTGGAAAGATAATTCATAGACACGGTGGTCAGCTTGTTTTGTACAGAGGTAGAAACTATAGTTCCAAGAGAAGGCCTGCAATACCATTAATGTTGTGGAAACCCCATGAACCTATATATCCCAGGTTGATCAAAACCACGATTGAGGGCCTAAGCATCGAAGAAACCAAGGAAATGAGGAAAAAAGGACTAGCTGTGCCTGCTCTAACAAAACTTGGTACATCTTTATTCTCATATTTTCTTGGTTTGTTTGACCATTGTAAATGCTGTTTCTGAGTCATTTTGCAAATGCAGCCAAAAACGGGTACTATGGCAGTCTGGTACCAATGGTCAGGGATGCATTTCTCACCAATGAACTCATTCGGATAGACTGCCGGGGACTTGAGAAAAGTGATTATAAGAAAATAGGCTGCAAACTTAGGGTAAGATTTTGTTATCCCTTCAGTCTCCCTTATCAGTTCCAGTTCCAGTTCCTTAACATTTTTCTGTCGTTTTATTTAAGACTCTATATGTGTTGTCTGTTTAAATATGTTATTTGTATAGAAATATGTCGAAGCTTATGCTAAATGATATGGTTACTGCCTATTTTACTGCATTTAGCAAGAAATTGCATATGAATGATGCCCTTCTATGCTGTAGTTTCTGATTATTGCAGTATGGCACTTGTGTTTCATTTTTTGCTTGGCTTATAGCACTTATGCTTTGTCAGATGGAAAGTGCATCGAATACTTGTTTGACATTTCTTTCCTTCAGATACTTTTTAGTGTCTGCGTTGTGGGAAAGTGGTCTAACGTTTGTACAATATATTCAGCTATGCAAATAGAAGGGTAATATTTAATGGGATATGTTCCTATTTGACATGAGGAAGTCTCCTCGGTACCAGTTTTGAGGAGTTCCGTTCCCACAACCTTGTCTTTTTATTGCTGCTATCATCGGGACAAATGGATGATAGCAATGACATGCATGCGGACAGTATAATACGTTGTCAATAACGTTCAATTTTTTTGTTCATGTAGGACCTAGTTCCTTGCATCCTTGTGACATTTGATAAGGAACAGATTGTCGTATGGAGAGGGCAGGACTATAAGCCTCTGGAGGATGTACAGTTCCCTATGGATTGGGATGAAAATCCAAATGGCACATTACTTGATGGTGTTGAGGATGTTCGTAGCTCGGATAGCAGCAGTAACGAGCAGTGGTTGAGCTCGAGTGACGACGAGTCGTCGGATTCCTGAGATTACTCAACAGAGCCAGCTGTGCATTTGCTGGATTAGATTTAAGTCTGTAGTGGGAACGTAAACTCAGAAGGCAAAGTCTTGCATCTGGGTTGCTTGCAAGGACTAAAAGAGACGCGTTCCAGGAAACTTCCCGGAGAGTTCTCAAGCGATTACTGATATGCTCAATCTCGGTTCGAGAGGGATAAACGAGAACCCGAAAGAATGGATTGAACCATTGAATAAGGCTAAGTTCTCACAATCCAAGAGCATAGGCATGTTGGGGTCTGGTCCTAAGGTTGGGCTTTTCTTTTCCCTGTACATCTCAACCGTCGGTTTCAGCAGACGGCGTCAGGAACTGGTAAACCGATTAGACCGTGTCGATACTAGAATGTGCTGAAGAGCCCTTAAAAACTATTTTATTCTATGCTTTACCGTCGGGAATCGCCCTCGCTTGATAAGATGAGAACTGAAATCGGGACTCTGTCGTCCCTAGTTCTCGGCGAGCGACGACGATAGTCGTGAAAGAAAATGTGCGCAAGCTGTAGGAAAACAAAGACCCTCCTCCGATCGTATTCCGTTTCCACGGCGATGCGGTGGCGAATCGTTGTCGTAACGCGATTCAATGACGAAGCGTGCGGATCGCCTCTCCGCGAGATTCGTAAAAGAACAGTACACAAGATGACCCCCCCTTCCTTCCTGCCTTACACGGGTCCAAAAAGTGGTCCCCACTCCGTGTCTGCCTCTGGTTCCATCACATCATCCATCGTCCCCCCGTCGCCTACGAAAAAAAGCTAAGACGGAACTTGGTGGAGCCCCTCACTGTCGCGTTTGTCCATCTACCGGAAACGCTATCAAAGGAAATTGATGGACAAAGGAGGGATCAAGAAAGTTGAGGCCCGGCATCGTGCTACCCCCCACGTTCTCGATCAGGGGTGCTTCTTCGGAAAGGTGAGCACGCTCTCTCGCGTGTGGTGGTCTTGGATCCACCACCACCACCAAAATAACGCATGGTTGACCACTCCTTCTCTTCTTTTTTAAGTGACGTGTTGGGGGTGCTATTTTAAATTGTCGCGGGGGTGTGAAACATGTTACTCCATTTCGCTTCCTGCTTAAAGATGAAAACGCCGTGTCGTCTTGTGCCGACTGCAGTGGTGCCCCTTTTTCGCTTTCATTTCCTAGCGGTTTTTTTTTTTTTCCTCGTTTCAAATTTTCTTATCTTTTGCACCCAAATTCGACAACTGCCATACTGCTTTTTGGAATTTAAATAAAGTCTCGAAGAGGATGCGGCATAATCATGGGGTGGATATGCCGTGGCTCAACTCTTGGACATGTTAGCTAGCTTAGTGGAAAGAGGGGCAGGCAGTTTTGCGGTATGTGGAGTGTTTCTCTCGTTGAGCAGTCTGCATAAGAAGTTTCATCTTACATCAAAACCCTTTGCTTCAATGCACAAGCTAATTCCGATTCGGAAAGTATCCTTTTGTTTTTTTTTTTGGGGTCGAATGGAAAGTAACCCTAGGTAGCGCGCACACGGTAGGAAGAATATCTATGGCTCCGTTTGATTAGCGCAAAACGGGTGATTTGGAAAATGTTTTCCTAAAAATAATTACTCGTTACGCTTGAAATAATCGATCAGTGAAAAATGTGTCATTATCGACAATGATTTATGTCGATAAAAGAATATTTCGTTTGTTCATTTTGGTAAGCGATATAAGCCATTATATTTAGGAAAATGGATTTTCTGCCAAACAAACTGATTTGAAAGAGAATTGTTCTTCGACTTTCTGGTGTTTGGATGGCGGAAAACTGCGCGATCATTTTCGTGGATGATAGAAAAAGAATTTCCGTCCATTCATTTTTGTAAGCGATACAAGATATTATTGTTAGGAAAATATTTTTTCAAATCATTCATTTACCGCCGAACAAATTGATTTGAAAGAAAAAACTGTTTCGGGAAATTGTTTTCCGACTTTTCGATATTGGGATGACGGAAAACTAATCAATTACGTTTTTCATAAACTGAAAACAATAAGTTTAAATCGGGGGAGACGACTTCCCTATTCCGATGACAAGGGAACAATCTCTCTAAATCGCTAGACGGATGAAAACTATTTTCTTTGACAATGATTTACATGGGTAAGATTTCCTTCGTTACGAAGGCTTTCGTAAGACGAACTCGCCTTTAATTTGTACCAAAATCGTGTATAAAGCGAACCTAGGAGCAAGGATATCCCGGAAGGAGAAAATCAAGGACATTTAGACCCCACCAAAGATTATAAAGAGCCTCGATAGAATTAGAGCAAAACCCACACAATCCAAGACGCAACTAATAGTCCACGGCCGCCCCCTCCCCACCCCCCAAGCAACGCACCTCTTGGCAATTTTTACATTGGAAAAGGCAATTTCCCGAGCAAGAGGGCCAAGATTGCGATCAACCCCACATGATGCAGCAGCAGCAGCAGCAGCAGAAGAAGAAGAAGAAGATCAGGTGGCCAACTAAACTTTCTCGGAATGCCGAAAAAAAAAAAAAAAGACTAAACTTTCTCGGCCCCTATAAGAAAATTTTCTCGGGAAAATTCCGAGTTTTCCAAGTTCGCATGACAGCAAAAGATTAGCAGAAGCAGATCCAAAAGAATACGTAGTTTATATTCGCGTTCATGATATCTCCACACGCTCTGCACGCATCCCGGGTGTCAATGCCATTATGTTTTTCTCTCTCCGACCAAAAAACAAGAAAAACATAAAATCTCTCTCTCTCTCTCTCTCGATCTCGACCTTTCATCCTTCACTTTCCCAGATTTTCTCTCTCTTCAGGGTCGCCCCTCACCCTCACCCTCTCTCTCTCTCTCTCTCTCTCTCTCTCTCTCTCTCACCTTTCCTTTCGTTCGAAATTTCTGCACTTTCCCACATTTTCTCTCTCTTGTGCTTCTCAGTGTAAATCTCTCCCCGTCTCTCTATGAACTCTTTGATGGCGAACCAAGATCTCGCCTCCCCTCTCCTCTCTCCTCGGCGACGGCCGTCCGATCCTCCACACTCCATCCTCACCATCCGTGAGGACCACGACAACGGCCTGCCAACGCACGACCGGAATGGTCGCTCCTCTCCCAAGAAAGACCCTCGGACACACAAACCCAGGACCCAGAACCACCACCACCACCACCACAGCAACAACAACGGTGATAATCACTCCCACAGCAACAACAACACCCACTTGGAGAGGCCCAACCCGTTCGAGTTCTTGGGCTCCAGGAGCTTCTCCGTGCCCCGGGCGAGCACGGTTGACCCGTTCCTGAACCGCACCGAGAAGGTCGATGGGGTCTACGAGGTGGTGAAGATTGTGCTGTGCTTGCCGATCGCTTTGGTGAGGCTTGTGATTTTCGGGGCTTGCTTGTCGGTGGGGTTCGTTGGGACCAAACTGGCTCTTCTGGGTTGGCAGGATAAGGAGAATCCGATGCCCAGATGGAGGTGTCGGCTCATGTGGGTGACCCGGATTTGTGCCCGTTGTATTTTGTTCTCATTTGGGTGAGTTTGAATTTGCTTTTTTTTTTTGTTTTAATTTCTCTAGCTTTCTGGAATTTCGTTTTAGGTGTAACTTCAAGAAAAAGAGTTCTTTTATGGTAGGGATGAAAAAGTTTGAATCTTTAAGCTGATTGGTTTTTCCGGCTAGAATATGGTAGATTGTACATTTAGTCCCTTGTGGCCTGTGAGAGGAAATGAATGATCGGTTTAGTTTGAAACAATATTAAGTGGCGGACTTAGTCAAAATCTTCTGGACTTAGAGAAAATTTCGAACTCCTAATTGTAGGTGGTAACAGTTTGTGATCACTTGGAGTTCGAAGAACTCCAGTTGTCTGAATATCTTTGATGGGTGATTGTTTGGGTCTCACCTTTTGCAGCTACCAGTGGATAAGAAGAAAAGGAAAACCTGCTCCAAGGGAGACTGCTCCTATAGTCGTGTCAAACCATGTGTCATATATCGAACCCATCTTTTATTTTTATGAGTTGTTCCCTACCATGGTTGCTGCCGAGTCCCATGATTCTATACCCTTTGTCGGAACTATTATCAGAGCTATGCAGGTAATCTTGGAGCATTACATTGTGATTTTGAGCATTTCACTTATTTAATGTGTGGAATGTGTGGAAGTTGTAGTTGGTCGACCATCATTGTTTTCTTACTTAACAGTCGATGTAATTTCTCTATGTTCTCAGGTAATATATGTTAATAGGTTCATTCCTTCATCGAGGAAGAATGCGGTTAATGAAATAAAGGTAAAAAGCTTCTATCCTCTAAGAAACTTGGTTTGAGGTGACAATCTTTTGAACATTCTACTGATTCTTTGTAAAGAAGGATTATCAAGCAGTGCTGAGATAGTCTACTGCTTTGATTTTCCATTTCCTATGCATATTTTTTAAAACTTTATGTTGTAAATCATTTAATATCAAGAAACAACAATTGTTTTGCATGCTCCCTCAACAAGGAGGGCACGCTGTGTTTAGTGCTCATTGTCAATCTGCATGATCATATTGGAAACCCCTTTTTTCTTTGATTTCTTTGGGATGATAAAATTCGTTTTGAAAAACTGGATGTGTAAAAAATAGAATTATGGCCATTTATTTCATAATCTCGTATTCTTTGTTGTTCAAACGTTTTCTTGATAGCCATGTAAGTTTGGGTACTTAACTGCCTATGTTTCCTCACATTTTATTGTTCTGACGATTCTATAGGCCTCTCAGTGGTTAGCCTGCCTCGAACAGCTAATATCTGTGTTACAGAAAGAGTGTTGTTGATCCCTTAGATCTATTTGTTTGCTTCAGACATTGCAAATTCGAAGGAGACTATGTTTATTATATTCGTGCAGTCATTGCATCATAGTTCGTAGTGCAAAATTTTAGGATTTTGTGTGTTATAATGTTATAGCAAATAGAAGCCTTTGGTCTTTTAGTTGCTTTACGAACTAAATTTGCAATCCTTTAGTCAATATTCAAGCTATTTGATACAGAAATGTGGTTTAGGGATCTAATTCTAAATACAGAGAAAGGCTTCCTGCGATAGATTTCCTCGGCTGATGCTCTTTCCTGAGGGAACAACTACTAATGGAAGGGTCATTATTTCATTTCAACTCGGTGCATTCATCCCTTCTTACCCGATTCAACCAGTAATTGTCCGATATCCTCATGTACACTTTGATCAATCTTGGTAAGGCTCCTTTTCCTTTTGTAATTGTGTCCCTGGTGCTGTTTGCGATATTTATCATTCAAATTAACTCTGGTTGGCTCTTGATTTTAATTTTTCTTGATTGTGCACAGGGGAAATGTCTCCTTGGCAAAGCTCATGTTCAGGATGTTCACTCAGTTTCACAATTTCATGGAGGTAATCTCTCTCTCTCTCTCTCGTATCCATGATAAGTTCCATCTGTGGCCACTGAAGTTGAGTGGAATTTGCAATTAGTTCACTGAAATTTGATTTCAGTCATTCAATGTGCTAACCTATTGTTTCTTTTTGGCAATTATGCACTTTGTTCGGAACCAGTCTTTTTTCCAGCAAACCTCTGACCTGCTGGACACATGGTTTTTGAAGATATCATGTCATTGCTAAATTTGCAGCACAATAATATAGGCCGTATTCTGGCCAAAGTGCATTGATTAAAAGAATTGAAAGTTTAGTGTATTGGGTGATTTAAATCAAAGTCAGTGCGGGGTTGCAAATTTCACCAAAGTTTAGTGATGAGCTGTGAAATTTACCTGTTCTTTTGTGGTCAGGGGAGGAAAAAGGGTAGGATTTTGAACTTTGTTCTGACATTTTTATCACTTTATCTGTGTTTCAATGTTTGAGAAAGAAATGACTGCTTAGGTGATGCCAAGGCAGACGGTGGTTCATTCAGTTCTTAGGTGTGGGCTTCATGTTTTCATAGCTATTTCAGCTTCTTAAACTTCTCAAACACTGAGAGGTGTTTCCGATTTATTTCAATATTTTCTGCTGCTTTCTTCAGTAAATATTGTTACCACATGTCAAGAAACTTGAATTAGCGGACATTTGCGTAATTTCATCTTGGAAAATTAAGTCTTATCGACACTGGTAATTGTGTAGGTTTATTTACTGTTGATACTTGCCAGCTGGAGTGGTAGACCTTGTAACTTATTGTTCAGATCATTGATGTCTCTTGGATTTTATCAGGTGGAATACCTTCCTGTCATTTATCCGCTTGAGGATCGGAAAGAAACTGCTGCCTGTTTTGCAAAGAGAGTGAGAATAGACATGCTTATCATTTTCCTTTTACTTATGTTGATGAATAAGAGATCTCAGGAAGTAGCTCCCCAATTAGTGATATACAGCAAATGGAGCAATTTTTGGGAATCTGAGAATTTTAGACTAGGGTGGCATATTTTTTTCTTGTGTGTTTTTCGTGTCTTAATAATTTAAATTTGTCTCTCTGATATTTGCAGGCTAGTGATGCTATTGCGACGGCATTAAACGTCACCCAAACATCCCATTCTTATGGGGATGTGATGCTTCTTATGAAAGCTTCTGAGACAAAGCAGGTTGGTGTTCTATAGTCTGATTTATTGGCAATAGAAACTTTACAACAAGGGTAGAAGCTTCAAAAACTTTGCTTAGTCTAAGTGATCTCTTGTGGTGCATAAATTTGATTACATTTGTCTTCTATAATCATGCGATAGGAAGAAACTAATGGATTCTTTGTGTGGTGTGTTCACTTTAAACATATGCAGTATTGATCATGATAGGCTGCAGAAAGAATTAAAGAATGTTATCTTTGATATGTTATATCAATGGCATCTTAGTTGTGTGTGTAAGAGGTGAGATTAAAGTGTTCAAAGCAAGTCATCCCCACGTTTATTTTTCAGATGTTCGTTTCACATGTTGCAGGTGAAGCCTTCGAGTTATCTGGTTGAAATGGCGCAGATGGAATCTGTAAGTTCGTGAATGTGATGATATTCTGTCTCTGTTCTATTTCTTATAAATAAGTCATCCTATGCTTGCAATTTGACAACTCACCAAGTTGTTTTGATTCTGTGCTACCTGTATGGATTGTAATTATATCTACATATGGAGTAAACAGGAGCTACAGCACTAGCATCTGCGTTTGCTCTTGATGAAATGATTCTTGTATAATGCTAAAGTGGGGAAAATTTTGGATTGTGGTTTTATTGTTATCAACTCCCTCAATTTTGAATGGTAAAGCAGAATTTATTTATTTCAAAGTTATTATAAACAATTTGGCTCTTAGCAATATTATGCGGCTGCCAATGCTTCGTTCTGTATTAGACCTGGAGATGCAGTCATCTGCTGATCCTTTAGCCAGTTTTTGTAATTTTGCATCATATGAGCTTCTTCTATTGTGTATAATAACCATGAAAAGGTGCTGTTGGAGAGGCAGAGAAGAAATCTTAAGTCTTCTTTAGGCCAAATAGCCAAAAAAAATACTCATCATTTCTCATTTTTTCAATTTTATCCCCATCTCTCTGCTTTTATCAAGATAAATCCTCACCTTTTGAAATCATATCAATTCTATCACTATGCTAGACTACCTCCAAGAATTGTCTTGTAATAATCATTTTTCCCTCTTTAGTCTTAAATATTTATAAAATTCAACTAAGACCATATTTTTGAAGAACCTAACTTTTTTTTTTCTTCATACAAAAAATTTATGAGTTATTTTAATTATTGAAAAATGGTTGATATGAAGCCAGATAAATATTGTCCCTTGAATTTTGCATTGGTTAAATTATTCTCTCTTAAATATTCTCCCTTGAATAATCAGATAAATCTTCTTTCTTCAGATTCAAATTAATATCCTTCTTTTAGCATAGTTAGGCAATAAATGATAGAGAATGTTTTTCTTAGCAGTCTTGCTGCCACATTGAAAAAAAAAGGGGATCCTACATACAAAAAAGAAAAAAAAGACAATCGAAATTTGGGAAGATATCTAACAAAACATTTTCTCTCACAAATGGCGTTAAAAGACTAGGATAGATTTGAAACGAATTTGAAATTATGGGTATTTTTCTGATAGGATTAAAAGGTCATGATAAAATTGAAAACCCTAAAAATGGTTGGGTTTATTTTGTCATTTGGCTTTTTCTTTATTATTCCGAAGGGATGACGGGTATTGTCTGAGATGTTAATCCAGATTAAGACCCACAAGAAAGATCGTGCTTTTTATTTGAAGCTAGACTGTAATTTTTGTTGTTTCTCTGTAGACATGACGGATATTGTATGAGACGTTTATCCAGATGAATTTATTGTTGTTTCTTTTTTGAACACTATTGGTCTTGATGGATTATTTAACTTACAAAACCTTTTTTCCTCTTGTTTCAGTTCTTCCATTTGAGCAGCGGGGAAGCCGTTGACTTTCTGGATAAGTTTCTGTCTATGAATCCAGACTCAAGGTACTCTTGCTCATTTCCTGAAAATATTTAATTCCCTAGCGCCTTGTCTCTTTCAAGGTTTTAGCAACTGGTATATTCTACGTATTCAAGCTGTGGGTTCTCTTTCTGGTAGAAATGTTAACTTTTCTTCTAGTTTGGTTATTAGTAGAAATGATGCACGATTGTTTATTGTCCATGTGAGGTTGCTTTTGTAACATCATGTGACAGACTCCTCCCTACTTGCTGTGATATTCGCCTTTTGGCATCAAAATGTTTATCCTTCTGTTGTCAAGTCTTCTCCCCTTCAATAGCTGTGGATTCCTTGTCTTGGAAATGAGCTCTTTTTGTAGATGGTTTGGCACCCCCTTGGTGTCTCATAGTTAATTCCCTTGGTACCGCCTTTGTAGAGTGCACTATTGCTTTATTATCTTTAAGCATAAGACCACTACTATTTAGTGACTGCAATTCTGGTCAATAATGTGACAAAATGAAACAGAAAACATGGCTAAGATGTTGAGATGAGTGTATTCTCTTGGCTTGTCATATTATTGTAAGGTTTCTGTGACCTGACCGTATAGTGTTATCTTTCAGTGGGCGTGTGTCAATGGATGGCTTTTTGAGGGGTCTGAGACTGAGAGCTTCTACTCTTTCTGAAGAGGTTAGTAATCCCTTGGTTGAGCCTTTCTTCATAGCCAGACAGGATGCTCCAGTGTTAAGAGCTTGGTGCTTGCCTCTCTGCTCATTGCTCATTTCACCTTTTATGTACAAGTTAGATGAATTTATTCTATATTTGTGCTTGAGCAAAGTTTTCTAGTGCTGGTTTGGGTCAGTTTCTCTACTTTTAGACTAAAATTGGGAAAAAGATTAGCAATGCGAAACAAAACTCAGATTTATCTTGTAGGTTGATTATTGTTCTTCCATTGTCTTCATATTAAGTAAGAATATTTTGGATGACAGATATTTAGGTTCCTTGAAGTGGATAACTACGGAACAATCACATTCAAGCAGGTAATCTTCCCTTTGAGTTTTGATAGCAAGCACATCTTCCTCTAAAACTGAGGGAAGTGATCAGTAGATGCTAGGTTAAACTAGGTTTATAAATTTGTCTAGGGACTTGGCTTTCGGTGCTGTTCTTGTTGAAATTTGAACATAATGATTTGTTTCTGCGTTTGCAGTTTTTATTCGGGTCGGCTCACGTAATGAAGCAACCGTTATTTAGAGAAGCCTGCCAACTGGCACTTAGGGAATGTGATGTAGGAGGCAGAGGTTACATCTCAGAGGAACAAGTGAGCCTTTCTTTTTCAGCCCTTATGTAATTTCAGTAGTCTTCTTGTTTTCAAATAAAACCTTCTCTGCTAATCTTCGGTTTCTCGTTGCTTCTAAAATAGTTGGGAGATAGCCTTAGAGCAACCATGATGGATATGAGCAAGGAAGAGGTAACAAACTCGCACTCTGATGTTTGTTTCGGGTTATTTAGAAATGCGAATCAGCAAATAAGTGTTTCGAAACGGATTTGTTGATGAATATGCGTTGTTTTTTTGCCAGCTCTTTTGTTTCCTATACATGACGACTGTGCTGCTATGTTCTTGCAGATTCACGAATTGTTCGAATTGTTTGACGGGGATGGTGATGGAAGGGTGAGCAAAGACGACTTCATGTCCTGCTTAAGAAGAAACCCACTCCTAATAGCGCTCTTCTCTCATTGTTTACGGCATGATGATTCGTTAGAAGACAGCGACCGGACACCGGATGAGATTGTTTGATTATTGGTTTTCTTGCTTCATGTTAGGTAAAGTGCGTATTGTTTGCTGCTCCAGTGGGTTTTGATCTGAGAGAGAGGGAGAGAGAATTGGGGTGCTTTCATTTTTTTTCACAGTGCCCCCTTAGTAGGGAAGGGATTTCATGAATAGACTCTGTATCGAATCAACATACAAATGTTTATCTCGAGATTACCTTAAGCCTAGTTTTCTTTTGTCTTGGAGTTGGGAACCCTCGATTGGAAATCACCAACAATAAAGTATAATTAGGGGTGTGCAAAGGAACTAGAAACCGCCTGGAACCGGACCGGACTGGCTCGGAACCAGTCCGGTTCCCTGTTCTAGGGGTGGAACCGCCCACCTGGACCGGACCGGTAATATGTATTTAAATTTTTAATTTTTTAAAAAGTGAAATTTCTAAATTCCTAATCTGGCCGGCGCCCCTCCTCGGTGGCTCCAACTGGAAGTTGCACAAAATTATAGTTCCAACAAGGAGAGTCCTCACCTGGAAATTCTGCATAGAGATCTCAGCATCCATAGTTTGACTGAATCAAGAGAGTTTCCTGCCGTGAGAGTTGTAAATGGCAAAGAACTCAGTAAAAAAAACTGGACTATTGCAGGAGCTACATAAACAGGGAAATGGACGGGGATTGGCAACAATCTTGAGCCAAAAATGGGCAGAAATTGCAGCTGGTATTTTGACCATTTGAGAGGTCATTTGAGGTGACAAAACAAGGGTCAAAACCTTGCTGGATTTGCTGAAAATACAGAGGGAAGATAACTGCTCTAAGGAGGGGAAATAGACTGTAAACCTTGAATTGCAGGGGAAGAGACAGAGGGACATAAATGCTGGGAAACGAACCGGACCCATCCGGGAACCGGACCAGACCGGCTGTCCAGTTTCCGGGTGGATTCATGGAACCAACGGGCGGTTCTCGGTTCTAATTTTGCGGAACCGGTCCTTAGTGGGCGGTTCCGATTCCGGGATGGAACTGCTCACCCGGACCATGCTCACCAGTAAGTATAATGACTCTGCCGTTAATGCATGCCGGAGTCATGGGTGACGCATGGCCCGAGGACCATGTAATCTGTATTACGAAAGCAGGGTTGCCGGGAAACACGTGTTTCTATTCGATAACCAAAAAGGGGAAAAAAAGCACAAAGAAACCAAGTGAGAAGCCTGGGCTAGTAACAGCAAATTCTGGCTTTTACTGGTTGATTTTGACCGAGTCCTAGATGCCGAAGGGCAACCTAGATGACCTTTATACAGCCACCGTTCGTGTGCCGTCCTCTCGTCTTTAGTAAGAGCTCCTTTCTTGCGACGGCAGGTCCTTCAGGGGCTACGGGAGCTGTCAATGCCATCTTCAACTCAAAACGTTCCCTTGCCACGGACACATCAATTTGGGCCAGTAAACCCATTTCCACAGTGCGAAAGGCCCTAGCTTTGCATTTCTTGGGCTTGCTCGACCCTTCTTGTGTTGGCGCCGCACTTATACATATACCTTGAGACCGGACGACGTAAAGTGTTGTGTCGATTTAATTGCTGTAGATGCAGCTGCGGCAGTGGGGTTCCGGGTAGGGGTGAGCATGGTCCGGGTTGGGCCGGTCCACCCCCTAACCCTAGGACCAACCCGCACAGTGTTGGTCCTCAATTTTTGGGACCGAGGACCGACCCAATTGAGCCTAGGACCGAAGACCGGACCGACCCAATGGGTTCGGTCCGGTTCCAGGGCCAACCCGGGACCAATCAATAATTTTTTTGTTTCATTTTTTGTACTCCTTGAAAAGGCAAACCTACTATTTCAAATTACATATCCATCGACAATGCGGCGTTGTACAACACAACTATAAATACTAGTACATATTTAACAAATTTAAGATAAGGCAACAATAGAAATTTCACACATGCTAAAGGCAAGAAACCATAAAAACGATTAAGACCGCTCATAGAAATATGAGACAAGATGGGAAGTAGGGGTGAGCATGGTCCGGGTTGGGCCGGTCCACCCCCTAACCCTAGGACCAACCCGCACAGTGTTGGTCCTCAATTTTTGAGACCGAGGACCGACCCTATTGAGCCTGGGACTAAGGACTGGACCGACCCAAGGGGTTCGGTCTGGTTCCAGGGTCAACCCGGGACCAACTGGTAATTTTTTTGTTTTATTTTTTGTACTCCTTGAAAAGGAAAACCTACTATTTCAAATTACATATCATCGACAATGCGGCGTTGTGCAACCAAATTATAAATACCATTACATATTTAACAACAATCAATGACCCCAACAATCAACTCAAAAATAGCCAGCTTCAACCCATAAACTCCAGACTCACCCTTTGAGTCAAGACTCACCCACTCGAGCGACAAGCGGCGAGCGGCAAGCGCGGCGAGCGGCGAGCGCTTCAACCCATAAACTCCAGACTCACCCTTTGAGTTAAGACTCACCCGCTCGAGCGACGAGCGGCGAGCGCTTCAACCCATAAACTCCAGACTCACCCTTTGAGTCAAGACTCACCTGCTCGAGCGGCGCGAGCGGCGAGCGTCGAGCGGCGCGAGCACCGAACGGGGTGAGTGTGAAGTTATTTTCTTCAATTTTGGCAAAATGGAGAGTCTAAACTCTGAAGACTAAAGAGACTTTACAAGGAAGACTAAAAGAGAAGATCAGAAGATGTTGTCAGTACCACTACCAGAGGAGGACCGAGGGTTTTGGACGCGTGAGAGGCGTGAAAAAAAACTAAAGAGAGACTCTGAGACTGTACAGGAAAGACTAAAGAGAGAAGTTGTCGAGGATGACGCTGTGAGTAACAGTGTAACACCGTTTTGGACATGTGAGAGGCTGAGAGCTGTTTCCCACCTTTTCTTTTTTGGTCAGTTTTTCATAGCATTTCACAATTTCAATTGGGTTCTCTACATAAAAAAATTATAAATAATAAATTAAATATATAATATATATAATATATTTCAGATATATTATATATAATATATATAGTTCGGGTTGGTCCGGGTTGGACCGACCCTAAACTATTTGGACCGAGGACCAACCCGTACAGTGCTGGTCTAGGGATCCCAGGACCAAGGACCGACTCAGTCCCCCTGGGAACCGGACCAGGACCGGCAGGGTTGGGCCGGTCCAGGGTCGGTCCAGGGTTGACCCTGGACTGATGCTCACCCCTAATGGGAAGTCCCTATAATCATCTGTCAATAATACTCATAACACCATATGCAAAAACGTTTTCCTGCATTCGATCAAGGAGAGTCCAATCAACCAAAAAATGAGCTTCACACCACTTGACTAGCAAATCATCGTAGTAACTGTAATACTACTCTTCAAAAACTTCTAACATTTGACACAAACTGAAAAGCAAAGTGCAGCTGAAACTTACTAGTGAAATACAATTAAACCATAAGAAATTCAAAACACTTAATATAAACCATGAATACACAACTTCACATCTTGTTAATTCACTTCAACTTCTGATCGCGATGACAAAATGGTAAAAATTCACAAGTGCATCCTATGCAATTCTAATCGAGATGACAAATGCATCATAAAATAGTTAAGTCATGTCAATTTAGAGCCAATCGCATTCGCCTATCGTCAAATTTGGGGGTATCTCTTTTGTAGAATTTCTGTCCTGTTATAAAGAACGTCATGAGGTTGGCCACAATTCGAAGCTGCTTAGCAACTTCGTTGCCCCACCATATCCTATTCAGCTGCCCAATCAGCCTAATCTCTGGCTAAGGTGGAAGGAAACCATTAGATGTACAAACAGACAAAATTTGGCCATGGATAAGTTGGTGAAGGGGAACGGAAATCTCAACTAAATCAGCCAATTTAGCAACTATACAAGTTTGAAAATCAGACAAAGTCAGAAAACTGGTGAAGCAGCTCAGTTGGCAGCCTTGGTGTGTGGGAAAGAACCGACCAAAATCTAGATTAATTCAGTAGACAAGCACAATAAAACACACTCTTTTGAAGCATACAACTTTGGAGACAAGATGCACTTGAGAGAGTTCTCGATGACCCCAACAATCAACTCAAAAAAAACCAGCTTCAACTCATAAACTCCAGACTCACCCTTTGAGAGAAAATGAATTTTTTACAAATTTCCAGCGAAAAATAGCCAAAACCTTCAACTAGAGAGTGGAAGTACACTGACGATATTTCCAACCATAGATCGCGCGTCCCAAACGGAATTTGGGAAGGCACCCAAAATCCCCCCCCCCCCAAGGGTACCCTCTTGGTGAGCACAGGTAAAAACCTGAGAAGTGTTGGAGGTTTGGTCGCGAGCCGGGAAAAGAGTGAGATTTTGAAAGAAATGAGAAAATTTTGAACCAAGAAACTCACTGGGGGTCAAAGTAGGCATGTTCTAGCTCAAAAAAAGCTTCGCATTGTCCGTTGATTAGCTCTTCATTCTAGTTAAGGTGAGAAGAGTGCACCAGAGTAGGCCCACAAACCCAACTCTAGATACGTGAAGTAAAAGTGGAAAAATAATAATCCAACATAAATCAAGAACATACATGTGTTCGAAAAGCAGGGCGAAGAGAGGCGAGCGACGAGCGGCGAGTGAGGCGAGCGCGGTGAGCGGCCAGAGGCGAGCGCCGAACGGGGCAAGTGGGAAGTTTTTTTCTTCGATTTTGGCAAAGTGAAGAGTCTGAAGACTAAAGAGAGACGGTACAAGGAAGACTAAAGAGAAGAAGTTGTCAGTACCAGAGGAGGACTGAGGACACCGTGAGTAACGCTGTTTTGGACGCGTTAGAGGCGTGAAAAAAGATTGAAGAGAGACTGTTCAAGGAAGACTAAAGAGAAGAAGTTGTCAAGTACCGGAGGATGATGCCGTGAGTAACGCCGTTTTGGACGCGTAAGAGCTATTTCCCGCCTTTTCTTTTTTGGTCAGTTTTTCAAGCCATTTCACAGTTTCACTTGGGTTCTCTACATAAAAAAAATTATAAATAATATATTAAATATATAATATATATTATATATTTTAGATATATTATATATAATATATATAGTCCGGGTTGGACCGACCCTAAATTACCTGGACCGAGGACCAACCCGCACAGTGCTCGTCCAGGGATCCCAAGACCTAGGACCGACCCAGTCTCCCTAGGAACCGGACCAGGACCGACAGGGTTGGGCTGGTCTAGGGTCGATCCAGGGTCAACCCTGGACCGATGCTCACCCCTAGTTCCAGGGCCG